AAGGAAAGGAAGTAAATGGATGAAGAAGGGAGGGAAAGGAAAGGAAAACACAAAGCAAAGTCAAATGCAAAGTAAACTAAAGAGTAAAGTAAAAAAAAAAAAGTAAAGTAAAAAGTGCAGAGTAAAAGGTAAAATAGCAAGTCGAGTAGCCCAACTTTCTGGGCATGGCTCTTTTGCACCCTAAGCCGGTTTTAAATCTGGCCTGGCGACTGGGCTGCTCGTCTACCTCGGATGACTCAACAAATACTCACTTTCCTGGAGAGACGTTTTCCAGAGACCGGCAAAGAGGAGCACGCAGACCCACCACGGGGCCATCTTCTCCTTCTCCCTCCGGGAGAAGAAACGGGCGAGGGCTTAGAGAAGGAATTCGGTCCGGTCGGTGGGAAGCTGAGCTCGGCGGTGGCTGCAAGCTGGCTTTGCAACCAGCAAATATATAGCCTTCCAGGGCCGTGTCTAAATTTATCCCGCAGCGTGATTGGAGTGGAATCCAAATCCTGTCCCACAAATACTTTGGGGTGGACTTCACCCAGATGGGGCAAGAGAGCTCTTTTTAAACTCAATGTCTGTGGAGATTCTCAGGCATCCAGATCATGGCTGTCTCCAAACTGCTTTTTTCAAACTCAATCTGGACTTTCTTTGTTTTTAATAATAATAATAATAATAATAATAATAATAATAATAATAATAATAATAATAATAATAATAATAATAATAATAATAATAATAATAATAATAATAATAATAATATAATAATAATAATAATAATAATAAAGTTGGAAGGGATCTTGGAGGTCATCTAGTCCAACCCCCTGCTCAGGCAGGAAACCCTATAGTACCATTTCAGACCAATGGTTTGTCCAGTCTCTTCTTAAAAACTTCCAGTGTTGGAGCATTCACCGCTTCTGGAGGCAGGTAGTTCCACTGATTAATTGTTCTAACTGTCAGGAAGTTTCTCCTTAGTTCTAGGTTGCTTCTCTCCTTGATTAGTTTCCATCCGTTGCTTCTTGTCCTGCCTTCAGGCGCCTTGGAGAATAGCTTGACTCCCTCTTTTTTGGGGCAGCCTCTGAGATATTGGAAGGCTGCTATCATGTCCCCCTCGTCCTTCTCTTCGTTAAACTAGACATACCCAATTCCAGCAGCCGTTCCTTATATGTTTTAGCCTCCAGACCTCTAATCATCTTTGTTGTTCTTCTCTGCACTCTTTCAGGCTATTGGAGAATAGCTTGACTCCCTCTTCTTTGGGGCAGCCCCTGAGATGCTTCACTTCTCATCCAGGAAGCATCTTCAGTTCTGACTGAATGGTGGAGAACGGAAGGATTTATATTCCTTGCAGTCCTCTGGTCATTAGTACTCTCTCTGAGAGTCATCAAGGCCACCTTGGGGGGGGGCACCTGAATATTGCAAATGGGGTATGGATCCTTCTTGGAACTGACTGAGCTCTTAATTTCTTAATTTCTCCTTTCTTTATAAGTGAGGGAGCTGAGTTCGAGAAGGTGAAAATCTTCACAAAATGGCTTCCGGTTTGTCCTTCCGATTTCCAGTCAGAAAAAAACTCTCCCTGAAGTGGAAGGGATGGGTCCCCTTGAAGAAGGGGACTCACGACCCAGATCTGAAGTTCTGACGATTGCACCCCTGCTCTTCGGGCCCTCGGCAACCCAGCCACACGTTATGGCCGTTTTTGCAGCGTCCTGTGGTCACTTGATTGCATTTTAGGATGGTTTCGCCCAAAAAACTGGCTCTCATTTCGAACCGCAGAATACCAAAACAATGGGTTCGCTTAATATTTGCAAAATAGGTCGTAAAAATAGGTTGGTCGTGGGAACAAAATCCGTTTTATGACCGTTAGGACTGCAATGGGCAGGCTATGTTACGGTCATAACTCGAGGAGTACCTGTAATCTAACACAGAGAAACGATTGCTTGTCTACTCATGTGTGCTAGTTTCCTGTTTCATTTCCCTTACGTGTGTGTGTGTCTCTCTCTCTGTGTGTGTGTGTATGTGTCTGTGTGTGTCGGGGTCCTACTGCATATCCAGGCCATTTGTTGCCTGCCCATGGCTCAATTAATCTCTAGAACTGACTTCCATAATTCTGAGCTTCCCCCCCCCAAAAAAAGGAATGCTAACATACAACTCAGCACTAGGTGGAGACAAAGAGTTCGTTTTTTTCTTCCTGTCGCTTGTTCCTGCCCTCTGGTGGCCCTTTAGATCTTTGCAGCCCAGATTTGGAAATCTTCTCCAGAACCATGAATGCTGGTTTGGGCCAGGCTGATGTGTCCTTAAATTGCCTTTGATGGACTTGTTTTCTTCCCAAGGAACAAAATCAGCGCTTTGTGTGTTGACTCTGGCAAAGTGTTAAAGAGTCAGGCGCTTCACAGCTGAAGCCGCCTGTCAGATGTTCCAGTAGAAATGTCTTTTTTTATGAAATTTGATAAATCAACAACATGTTGTTCCCGAAAGTCAGCTCTTTGGATTCTGCCTTGGGCAGAATGAATGTCGATCCTGTTTTTGATGGTCAAGGGGTAAAATACATCTCAGCTGGGTTGAAGGCCCACTGAACAGGGTGGTTTTGTTCTCCAAACAGATCAAACTGTCAATTTGGAATAATACAAACACCATTTGTGTCCACCGCAATGTACTCTGCATAAATGGATAAACTATATTTAATTTCTTAAGATGGTGGCTTCTTTCAAGGCAACGTATTGTTAGAACTATTGTTAGAATAATTTGAGCTTGTCATGGAGATCAGCCTTAGCTTGCAAGGTCCTTCCTTCCTTCCTTCCTTCCTTCCTTCCTTCCTTCCTTCCTTCCTTCCTTCCTTCCTTCCTTCCTTCCTTCCTTTCCTCCCTCCCTCCCTCCTCATACTCCTTTCTTTTCCTTTCCTCTCCTCTCCTCCACCCATTCTCCTTCCTCTCCTCTCCTCTCCCTCTCCCTCTCTCCTTCTCCCTCTCTTCTCCTCTGCCCATTCTCCTTCCTCTTCTCCTCTCCTCCGCCCATTCTCCTCCTCTCCTCTCCCTCTCCCTCTCCTCCACCCATTCTCCTTCCTCTTTTCCTCTCCTCCACCCATTCCTCTCCTCTCCTCTCCTCTCTCCTCTCTCTCCTTCTCCTTCTCCCTCTCTTCTCCTCTGCCCATTCTCCTTCCTCTTCTCCTCTCCTCCACCCATTCTCCTCTCCTCTCCCCTCCCTTCCCTTCCTCTCCTCTCCCTCTCCTCTCCTTCTTTCCTTGACACTTTAAAGTAAGAAATGAGGAGGCAACAGCCTATGTCTACCCCCAAATGACGGGTGATTCACTTTCCTTGCCTCTCTCTCGACAAGCCGAGATCTATGCCACGTCACCGGACCCAGCCAGGGGACAATTACAGACCACAGAAGAGCTTGTCACTTCTTCTCCCAATGTGAAGCCATCTTGGATGACAGGGGACTGCCAAGCGTGGGCAGCCCTGGGGCCGAAGGCAGGAGACGAAGCACTGCCTCTCCTAATAACTTGTCAACTGCCCTGTCAGCTGTGAAAGAGCAAATCGTGGTGAGATGTCCCTTTATTAAAATAATAATAATAATCATTAAAAAAAAAAGGAGAGCGATCAGATCAGGAGACAAAGAACATCTGTGTGGTCAACAGAAGACTGAACTTGTGATAGAGTCGCCTCTAGAAGAGATGGGCCATACACAAATCTAGTAAGGAAGTAAGCATACGAATAAATAAATAAAGATGGTTTATGGGATACAGGATAACAGAGGACTTTGGATGCTGGTGTTTCAGGCTGGAAGGGATCTTGGAGGTCTTCTAGTCCAACCCCCTGCTCAAGCAGGAGACCCTACACCATTCCAGAGAAATGGCTGTCCAGTCTCTTCTTAAAAGCCTCCAGTGATGGAGCATCCACAACCTCTGCCTGTATTAAAATATAGCCTTTCTCAATAAACATTATTTTAGCCTTCCTGGCGGAGTTGATTTCCTGATCTTTCCTGCCTCGTGGCAGTGACAACCCCCCTTTTTAGCAACCTGGATTTCTGTCCGCCTCTTCGCCCGGCTGCCTAGCTAATTTGTCGTGTTTCTGTGGCCTGCTTTTAATGCAGTTTGACAATAATCACTTAGAGATGCACAAGCTTTGATGGGGGTCATTAGAGTCGAAGGCAAGGCAGTCAAATCAGCTTGTCAATGTGATGTTTTCTCCCAAGCAGATTTGCGAGATCCAATTTGGCTGAATTTTCTGTTCTCCTGAACAGAAAAAAGCCAGCCAGAGTCCAGCGAAGGGAATTTGATCACTCTGGACACGTCGAACATAGAAGCTTAGGACTGGAAGGGACCCTAGAGATCTTCTAGTCCAACCCCCTGCTCAAGCAGGAGAATGTCTAATAAGAATAGAATAGAATAGAATAGAATAGAATAGAGTAGAATAGAATAGAATGCAGAAAGAATAGAATAGAATAGAATAGAATAGAATAGAATAGAATAGAATAGAATAGAATAGAAGCTGGAAGGGACCCTGGGGGTCTTCTAGTCCAGCCCCCTGCTCAACCAGGAGAACCTATACTGTCTCAGACAGGTGAATGTCTAATAGAATAGAATAGAATAGAATAGAAGCTGGAAGGGACCCTAGAGATCTTCTAGTCCAACCCCCTGCTCAAGCAGGAGAATGTCTAATAATAGAATAGAATAGAATAGAATAGAATAGAATAGAATGCAGAAATAATAGAATAGAATAGAATAGAATAGAATAGAATGCAGAAATAATAGAATAGAATAGAATAGAACAGAACAGAATAGAACAGAACAGAACAGAACAGAACAGAACAGTATAGAATAGAATAGACTAGAATGCAGATAGAATAGAATAGAATAGAATAGAATAGAATAGAATAGAATAGAATAGAATAGAATAGAAGCTGGAAGGGACCCTGGGGGTCTGCTAGTCCAGCCCCCTGCTCAACCAGGAGAACCTATACTGTCTCAGACAGGTGAATGTCTAATAGAATAGAATAAAATAGAATAGAATAGAATAGAATCTGGAAGGGACCCTGGGGGTCTTCTAGTCCAGCCCCCTGCTCAAGCAGGAGAACCTACACCGTCTCAGACAGCTGAATGTCCAGTCTCCTCTTAAAAATCTCCAGGGATGGAGCGCCCACGATTTCTGGGGCCAAGTTGTTCCACCCTTCAACTCGTCTTTGCCTTCCTCATTAGCTACAATTTTCGCTTCCCGAGGCCGCATTGCAATGAAATTTCGTAAGCCGTTGTCGTCGGCAATTCATAATCCGGAGAGGATTCATCCGTGAGGCAAGGGCGATTGTTATCTTACAAGCTGCAATGCTGGGGGGGGCCTTTCCTCCCCTCCCTGGGGCGCCAGGCTCCCTCTGCAAGCATTTCCTACCCCTACCCTACGCTGCCAAGCCAAGGGTACTCATTACGAATTCTCTCGCTCAAATAATTAAGATTCCCAGGGGAGAAATTGCTGGGAAGCGGGAGTTTTTTCCCCCTCGGCTTCCAAATTAGAGAGGAAAGTTAATAACGCCGGAGGAGAACGCAGGAAAGTGGTGCAGCTTATATCAAACATCCAAGGACTTTTTAAACGGGTCCCTGTTTATTCAGAGCAGGGCGTGGGATTGTCACACTGGTCTGGAAAAAGGCAGAAACGAGACTAGACAGGTGGTCCTCGGCTTACAGTGAGTTCACTTAGTGACCATTTGAAGTTACAACGGCACTGAACAAGTGACTTTTGACCATTTTTCACACTCACCACAACTGCAGTTTCCCCCTGGCCATGGTGATTTACCTTCAGAGGCTCGGCAGCCTCCCCAGGGTCACGGGATCACAATTCGGACGCTTGGGCACTGACTCGTGTTTATGACGGTCGCCCTGTCTCCCGGGGGTCACGTGATCCCCTTTGGCCACCTTCTGGGAAGGAGAGTTGGGGGGGGGGAGCTGGATTCACTTGACAGCCATGTTACTAATTGGACAAGGGCAGCGATCCACTTAGCAACTGTGGCAAGACAGGCTGTAAAATGGGGCAGAGCTCAATAAATGTCTCGCTTAGAAAAGTATTGTGGTCATAAGCCAAGGACTATCTGAACTGTTTGCAAAGGAACAATAAATGTTTGCAGGACCCGGCGTGGAATTTTGTTGGTGGAAAGACACAGAAGGGACACTTAACTGTGTGTGTATAATCTCTCTCTCTCTCTCTCTCTCTCCCTCCCTATCTATCTATCTATCTATCTATCTATCTATCTATCTATCTATCTATCTATCTATCTATCTATCTATCTATCTATCTATCTATCTACTTCTCTCTCTCTCTCTATCAATCTATATCTATCTACTTCTTTCTCTCTCTATATATATATATCAATCTCTCTATCTATCTATCAATATCTATCTATCTATCTATCTATCTATCTATCTATTTCTCTCTCTCTCTCTCTATCAATCTATATCTATCTACTTCTCTCTCTATATATATATATATATCAATCTCTCTATCTATCAATTTATATCTATCTACTTCTATCTATCTATCTATCTATCTATCTATCTATCTATCTATCTATCTATCTATCTATCTATCTCTTGATCTTCTAATGTGTGTGTGTATACACACAGACACACACATACATATAGACATAGACATACGTAGATGTAGACATAGACATATATATGTGTGTGTGTGTGTATACATTTATCACTGCCACAATAGGTGTAATTTCCTCCATCTCTCTATTGTGGTGGTGCAGAAGAGTTTAAGCAGAGAAAAAGGGGATTAGAAGATCAATTAAGAAACCCTAATTGGTTTTAGCGGCTTTATTCCAAACGCAGCATGTTGCTAGTTAGCCTCAGAATAGCAGCTCCCTTTTTTATTCGGATTTTAGTCGGAGGGAGGGTTGTCTTCAGAAAGAGTGGGGAGATGGGATAGGAGGAAAAGACGCAGGGGGGGGATGTCCAGGTCTCTATCATTTGTCATGCTAAACCCTGAATCCAGGTTTAGAAAGCACAATTGGAGAGATGGTAGAACTCGCAGGCCAATATTTTATTTTATTTTGCTATTTTGTTTTGCTATTTTGTTTTTTTTTATTTTTTTTATTTTTTATTTTCATTTTATTATTTTATTTTATTTTATTTTATTTATTTCTTATTTTTATTTTCATTTTATTATTTTATTTTATTTATTTTTCATTTTCATTTTCATGTTATTATTTTATTTTATTTTATTTATTTTTCATTTTTATTTACCTTTTATTAATTTTATTTATTTTTCATTTTTATTTTTATTTTATTATTTTATTTATTTTTTATTTTTATTTACCTTTTATTATTTTATTTATTTTTCATTTTTATTTTCATTTCATTTGTTTATTTTTATTTTTATTTTATTATTTTTTTATTTTATTTATATTTTGTTTAGTATTTTATTTACATTTTATTATTTTATTTATTTATATTTTATTATTTTATTTTATGTTATTAATGTATTTATTTATTTTATTATTTTTAAATTTTTTATTCTACTTTATTATTATTATTATTATTATTATTATTTTACTATTATTTCATTAAATTTTTATCTTGCCCCTCTCCCCTACAAGGTGACTCTGGATGCTTACAGGTTATAAAACAAGTAAAAAATAGTTAGAAGACCAAAACAGTACAGAGTTAAAAATATTATTAAGAACTACATGCTATAAAAAAGAACTAAGAGAGCCTAGAGCTGGATAGGATGGGGTGAGGCCTTCTTATCCTTTCAAGATCCAAATTGCATCTTAATTATAAAAATAAAGCCACCACTTTCCACATCCATATTGGCCATGGTGCATTAAAGCAGCCACCTCATTGTCCTGGCAGGTCTCCAAAATCAAACATAGAACATAACATAGGATAATAGAGTTGGAAGGGACCTTGGAGGCCATCCAGTCCAACCCCTATCTTGAGCAGGAGACCCTGCCTATACCATTCCAGACAAATGACTGCCTAGCTAGACTCTTCTTAAAAACCTCCAGTGAAGGAGAAGGGAGGGAGGGAGGAAGGAAGGAAGGAAGGAAAAAAGAATTGCAGAATAACAGAATGCCAGAATTGGAAGGGACCTTGGAGGTCATCCAGTCCAACCCCCTGTTCAAGCAGGAGACCCACTATTCCAGAAAAATGACTGCCTAGCTAGACTGTTCTTAATAACTTCCAGTGAAGGAAAAGGGAGGAAGGGAGGAAGGGAGGGAGGGAGGGAGGGAGGGAGGGAGGAAGGAAGGAAGGAAGGAAGGAAGGAAGGAAGGAAGGAAGGAAAAAAGAATTTATTTATTTATTATTTATTATTATTTATTTATTATTTTAATTTGTATACCGCCCTTCTCCCATAGGACTCAGGGCGGTTCACAGCATATTAAAAACAAATAATATACACAAAATACAAAAAAAATACAAAATACAAAAATACAAAAATACAAAAAATAAACCCCGATAAAAGCCGAATTAAAACCAAATATTATCAGCTGTGTTTCCGATTAAAATACCAGAGTTGGAAGGGACCTTGGAGGTCATCTAGTCCAACCTCTTGCTTGAGCTGAAGACCCAATAGACTCTTCTTAAAAACCTCCAGTGATGGAGAAGGCAGGAGGGAGGAAAGGAAGGAAGGAAGGAAGGAAGGAAAAAAAGAAAAAAGTATTGCAGAATAATAGAATGCCAGAGTTGGAAGGGACCTTGGAGGTCATCTAGTCCAACCCCTGCTCAAACAGGAGACCCTAGACCATTTCACAGAAACGGCTGCCCAATCTCTTCTTGCAAATCTCCAGTGATGGAGCACCCACAACTTCTGGAGGCAGGCAGTTCCACTGGTCAATTGTTCTCAACATTAGGAAATTTCTCCTTAATTCCAGGTTGCTTCTCTCCTGGGTTAGTTTCCACTCATGATTTCTCATCTTGCCTTCTAGTGCTTTGGAAAATAGTTTGATCCCCTCAAACGTTTGCTATTTATTTATTTTTTCAAACCATGGGTTGCGTTGATTTTCCTACAATTGTCTTGGAGGGAAGCCGTAATCAACTCTGGGTCGACCCTTCCCAGAAACAGAGTTGGGGGGGCTGGCGGTGTCTATGACCCCCTTGATTAACAAAGGCTTCCAGATGCTTCTCGCTCTGCCCAAAACCGGCATGTTTATTTTGGCACCTTGCCCTCCGATGCTTCCCAAAAGTCAGATTTAATCGCTTGGTACTTTGGCAGCTATCAGTCGCTTAAAGCAAGGGTTTTCTTGGAATAAATATATATATTTTTCCCCCGTGGTGGAACAGCACAATTTCCTTTCCTGGAAGGATCCAAGGCTGGAAGTTTAGAAGATCAGGAGAAAAGAGAGGGGTTTTCCTAATTAGGGAGGTCCTTCTTGCTAACTCTAAGAAATTAAGGTGCTTTCCGCAAGGAAGGTGTGTAATTGTGAGGCTTTTCTGTATCTCCCTGGCCGAGCAAAGAATCTACAGGTGGTCCTTGACTTAAAACCACAGTGGGGACAGAAAATTCAGGATTGAGTTTGGTGCAGTTGTTAAATGAGTCATTTGTTTTCCAATTAACCAGTGGAACAACCTGCCTCCAGAAGCGGTGAATGCTCCAACACTGGAAGTTTTCAAGAAGAGACTGGACAGCCGATTGTCCGAAATGGTGTAGGGTTTCCTGCCTGAGCAGGGGGTTGGACTAGAAGACCTCTGAGGTTCCTCCCAGCTCTATTCTGATTGGATTGGGATCATACCTGAAACTCCAGCATCCAAAGTCCTTTCTGCAGCTAGGGGCCGGACACGATTCAGCCAAAAGCATATGAGAAGGCCCGTTTTAAAAATATTTTATTTGCGATGCTAAAAAAACACCCTGGTGGAAGACAGAATGTGGTTTGTTACATAGCGGAAGCTCAGATGTCTGTGCATCAGAAACAGCCTCTGTGGCTTCATCCCAGGAGGCAAAGGAGACTGCTGGACAGATTGCTCAGGGTCCAGATAGTCCTCGACTTACAGCTATTCATTTAGTGATGGTCTGAAGTTATGACGCCGCTGAAAAAAGCAACCATTGGCAGCATCCCCACGGTTGCCTGAAACAAAATTCAGATGCCCGGCAAACCAGGATGTATTTACGATGGCTGCTGCATCCCGGGGTCACGTGATCACGCGACCTTCCCCCGCTGACATCGGACAAGCAAAGTCAGTGGGGACTCGCTTAATGACTGTGTGAGTCCCTTAACAACGGCCGTGGTTCGTTTAACCACCTTAGGAAAAAGGTTGCAAAATTGCGCACGTCTCATTTTGACCACCGCCTAGCTTAGCAGGAGAAATTCTAGTCTTAGTTGTCGTAAGCCGAGGACTACCTGTAGGGGCTTTCAGGTGTGGTCTTCTCCGTTTAGGCCGTCTTTCGACGACAAAAGCCCACCCCCAGAATTAAGACGGGGCACAGGTAACAGTGGAGCATTCCCCATCCTTCCGACAGGCCCAGAAAGAGATTGAGATGTTCCAGAAACCTGCAATTTTGGGAAAACGAAGTTTCCTTCTGAAGCATGTCCAGGAACACGGCCACCCCGTAGGGACCCCAGAAAAGATAAAAAAGCCAGCTGATGTTCAAACGGGGGTGCCCCCTCTCTCCACACCCCTTGAGACCCACGGTGGCGGAGACCATGATGAGCGGGAGAAGGAACAGAAGCACCAAGCAGAAGATCGCATGGACCAGGGACCAGGCGTGAAGCGCGGCGAGACGGTCCGGTATGCAGAGTCCATCGGCGCTGCTCACCAGCGCAGCTGGGATGGCGCAGAGGAAGCCCATGGTCCACAGCAGGGTGGCCAGAAGCGGCCTGGGGAGACCCCGGGGGCTCGGGCAGGCGGTGCCCGCTGCCAGCAAGCCCTGGGCAAAGACGCTGCCGAATTTGAGTCCGTGCATCGCTTGGCAGAGGCGGTCTTCAAAAGCCCAATTCCAGCCGATGCCCAGGGCGAAAAACGGCAAGGTGGAAGCGAAAACCAGCCCTGCGATGGCGAGCAGAGCAAGCTCCGCCTTGCCTGGCCGGCGCTGGTCCCAGAACCGAGGGCCTTTGGCCAAGGCAGTGCCCAGGATCCCGTTGCCCACAATCCCCAGGGTACAGCTGATCCCTAGGAAAGCTGGAATCCCGCGGATGAAGGTGGAACAAAAGGTGTACCGGCACGGTTCGGCGAAGTTTTGGTACCAGTCGTAGTCCTCCGTTTGGTTCAGGCTGAAGCTGTCGATCAGCTGCCAGTAGTCCAGGTGGGCTGAGTAGTCAAAGACGGTGGTGTTGCCGCCTTCCTCCTGCCGCTGGGAGAGAGAAGGGGGAGAGGTGAGGGGGGCGGAAGGGAATAAACGAGAAATGGGCAAGAAAAGAGGAAGGAGAAAGAAGGGGAAAACCAGGGTGACTGGTGGCTGAAGAGGCTGAAGGAGCTGTGAAGGAGCTAAATGGCGTTGGGTGTTGGCAGTCTTCCTGGCCCCGGTTGGGTCTGGATTTGTGTCTTGGAAGGAGGCAGAAGGGGCTGCCTGGTTGTCAAAGATAAACTAAGATTCAGCTGTGAGTCTAATTGGGGTTTAGGTAGAGAAGCAGCCGGGCCCTGCCTTTTGCCTCAGGCATCACAAAGGCAGGTCTGTTGGTTCCTGGTCTTTGAACAAGAGGATTGTTTAAGCTGGTATTAGAAGAAGAAAGAAGAAATAAGAAAGGAGGAGAAGGAGAAGGAGGAGGAGGAGGAGGAGGAGGAGGAGGAGGAGGAGGAGGAGGAGAAGGAGAAGATATAGAGGAGAAAGAGAATAAGGAGAGATGAGGAGGAGGAGAAGGAGGTGGAGGAGGGGAAGAAGAAGAAGAAAGAAGAAGAAGAAGGAAGAAGAAGAAGAAGAAGAAGAAGAAGAAGAAGAAGAAGAAGAAGAAGAAGAAGAAGAAGAAGAAGAAGAAGAAGAAGAAGAAGAAGAAGAAGAAGAAGAAGAAGAAGAAGAAGAAGAAGAAGAAGAAGAAGAAGAAGAAGAAGAAGAAGAAGAAGAAGAAGAAGATGATGATGATGATGATGATAGAGAGAGTCCTA